TTCCAAACTGATTAGTAGGACAGTTTCAATAATTAATATATTGCATATTGTTGTCTTAGAGGTTATTCATTGTACAAGATGCAGACATGATATCCTGTCCACAAACACTAATAGAACAAATCTTTCCATTCATTGAATTAAGAGAAAGTAGCTTTATATGTATCCTATTTTTGAATATACAGATACAAAATGGTCATTCATTTGTATCCCCTTTTTTTGTTTAGTTGTGTCAGAGAAGGATATTCCATTGTCATTTAAGTATTGTAGGTGTGTGAATTGAGCAAAATATTCCAATATAGTCCAGTAGTCCATAATAGTAGTGGGTTTTCCATAGGACTGTCAATGTCAGAAGTTGTTGACTTGAGCCTTTTATAGCTCAGCATATTAATATGGCTTTACTTTTTCTACCTCATTTTTTTACTTTTCTGCTGTATGGTTAAGAACAAGATAAAGCAAGACCTATATAACAAAAAATGTAACTTTTGTATCTGATAAGGTCAGTCAAATCCCTTCAGGATTTATCCTGAAACCCTGTACCACAGTTTGTAGATCTTTTGTCAGTGTCAGCCATGTGTATGAGTCACAGCCATTGCTTGACCAATTTGCTCTCTGTGAAAGCCTGAGAAAATGTTTTCTCTCCATGTGACTCTTCTTAGGCACACTCTACATCATTGATCACTTTCCTCTTTGGCCCCATAATCTCCTTGATCAGAAAATTTGGGACACAACTGAGTTACATACTATTACAGTACAGGTTCTCCTATGTCCTGAGTCTTCACTGACCTTGAAAGGGTAGGGTCAAAATGTTGGCTGTACTTGTATTACTAATAGTGTTATTACCACAGGCCTCTTGCTGTCTATAGAATCTCACATATCCAACCTGGTGTAGAGTTTTAGCCATGGTGATATGTGTTATAAGGGTATATAAAGCCTCACGTCTTTGTTCTTTTTTTATTCTCTTCCCTTTCCCTCCCGTCAGCCCTTCTTTCACAACATATCAATAAAATCTCCATTTTTATTTTTTTCGTTAACTTTTTTGTCATTAAATTCCTTTATATAGCTCAATTTTGTAATTAGAGAAACTACTTTGACAATAACTATGCAGTATAATAACCATTGTTAATCGCCTATTATCTTGTTTTGAAATGCTGAAGTGAAGTTTCCATTATCATGTCACATGCTGATCCTGGTACACTTTGGATCAGAACTAATTCGTGCTGAGGACTTGTCCCTCAAGTGGCAGTCTTCTGGGCTGTGGCCTCTGCAGCAAGGCTGGATCACGTGGGCCCTAAGTTCAAAAGTAACACACTGATGTGTTCGTAAGTTGACGCTGCTCTGGAGAGGTGATGACAACTTAGAGTGGGGCCTAGTTAGGTGTGTGTGTGTTGCTGGTGGCCCCTGAATACTGTATTTTATCCTTCTTTCAGGATCTAGTTCTCTCTCTGGTTCACTTCAGATGAACTTCTTTTTTTTTTTTTTTTTTTTGTACTTTTTCATATTTTATTCTTTTTGTTATTTTTGTTTTGTTTCTTTGCTTGATTTTGAATTTGGAAATTGAACTGAGGATCTAATGCTTGCCAGGCAGGAACAGGGCTGCTGAGCTTTTAGTTCATAGTTTCAGTATATGGTTACTTCGTCATGGGAGATGTGTCCCTATGAGTAAGCATTCTTCATTCATTTTTTTATTCTCTTCCCTTCCCCTCCTGTCAACCTCCAGGACACTTCAATAATGGCTCCATTTCTATTTTTTCATTAATTTTTTGTCATTAAATCCCTTTTATATACCTAAATTTTGTAGTTGGAGAAAGTACTTTGAAGATAACATTATGCAATATATTAACCACTGTTAATCTCCTATTATCTTGGTTTGAAATTCTATATTACTTCTTCCTCATAAAAATATCTTTGATGGGCCTGGGAGATGGCCCAGGAATAAATGTTTCCCTGGTAAGCACAAGAGCCTGAGTTCAAGCCCAGGTTCCACAAAAAAAGAAAGAAAAAGAAAAAGGAAATCTTTGAAGTATTTCCCATGTAGTTTATTTTTTTGTTCCTGAACTCTCTACGTATCCCTATGATGAAAAAATATAAATGGAAAATAAACATATGAAAATATTCAAAATCATTGATCATTCAAGAAATGCAAATTAAAACACCACTGAGATCTCACTCCGGAAAGAGAGGCTATCGTCAAGAATTCAACCAGGCTGTCAGATAGCTCAGCAGATTAAAGTACCCGTTTAGGCAGGTGTGGGGATGGGGGTCAATTCCCCCAGCATGCATGCTGGCCATGCCCCCAGGGTGCCCTGAGAAGGTGACTGAGACTGGGTTGGTAGCACATGCCTGTAATCTCAGCACTTGGGAGGCTGAAAATAGGAGGATCACTTTGAGTCTGATCTGTGTAGACCTTGTACTAAATACATCAAAAAAAAAAAAAAAAAAGAGAGAAAAGAAAAGAGTTCAGCCAATAACAAATGATGAAGGGATGTTGCAGAAAAAGGAACCTTTCTCCACTGTTGGTGGGAGTGCAGACTGATATAACCAGTATGGCAAATCAGTGTGGAGATTCTTCAAAAAGCTAAGATTGGAAGTCCCATGTTTTTCTAGAAGAACTAAAACTATGATATCACAGTGGTAGATAGATGTGTATCCATATTTATAGCTACATAATTTGTCTTAGCTTTTACCTGGAAAGAACCCAAATGCCCATAAACTGAAGAATGGATAAAAAAGTTGTGATTTTTTTACACAATGGAATATTACTCAGCTATGAAAGGGATAAAATCAAGACTTTTGTTAGTAAATGAATGCAACTAGAGATCACAGTCATAAGTGAAATAAATCAGACCCACATATGTAAACCTAGTATTATCTCACTAGTGTAAGAACCTGACAGTAAATAAAATCTGAAAGATGCAGTTGATACTGTAAAGGGCAAGAATCTGTTCAAAGGTAAGAACAACTGGGATGAGGAAAAGAGGAAAATAGAGAAAGAAGTAAAGGAAAAGACATTTATGTATATATGTGGGATAACTTGGATAGTTATACTGCTGATTTGCCAGTTTATTGAAAGGAGCGCCTTACTCCTTTCTTACTGTTTTTGTTTTCAATTTCTTGCAACTTTTTTCTTATTGATTTTACATGCTTATATTTGGAAATCTAAACAGCTAATTTGAAAACAATGTTATGCAACATAATAACCATTGTTCATTTCCTGTTATTTTGTTTAGTGAAATTCTGTATCATTTCTAATTTTTATTGCAAATTTTTAAATTCTCTTTAAAACATTTTTTAAAGATAAAAATTTTAAAAAATTACTTTTCCTTCCTTGTTCGCTCACCACCAACTCTTATTCCCCTCTAATTTGAATACATTCTTCCCACATCTCAAACTCTGTCTGTCTGTCTGTCTGTCTGTCTGTCTCTCTCTCTCTCTCTCTCTCTGTCTCTCTCTCTTTTTCTCTCTCTTTGTCAATCTGCTCCCTATTTATACTTTGAACTTCTTACATAATTGAAATGATATTTATTTATTTATTAATGTATTTGGTACAAGTTCTCGCTATGCAGCTCGGACTTGTAGTGCCTCCTATTTTCAGCCCCACCGCCCCCAGTGCTGGGATTACAGGCGTGCACCACCACGTATGAACTTGGTCACTGGCTCAGTGCACCCACAGGCAGAGCTGGGATGGGGTGGAGGACCTGTCCCACGGCTCACCTACACAGCTCTTAGTCCACTGAGCTATCTTGCTTTCCTGTACAGTGATATTTAAACTGTTTCTGATTTGCTTCACTTAAAATTATGGTCTCGATATGTAGTCACGGACCTAAAAAATGCCTAAAGCTTGTCTTTCTCTCTAGCAGAGTAGTACTCCATAGTATATAAATAACATATTTGCTTTACCTATTTATCTGTTGCTGGACAGATAGGCTGATTCCAAAATTCAGTTACTATGAGCTATGCTGCTATGAGCATATGCATGTATTGCCGCACGGTGCATGTATCTTTACCTCTTTAGGGAAGATACCTAGAAGGGGAATAGCTGGGTCACATGGAATTTCTGGGTTTTGATTTTAAGCAACATTCTTATTTTCCTGTACCACGTGCTTCTCCCCATCTGTTCAGCCACATGACAATCTCAGAAGCGACGAAGCCAATTTACCAAGTCATAAAACTTTCTTCTTTTAAGTTGGCTGTCTCGGGTATTTTGTAGCAGCAACACAAAGCCTACTAAAACAGTTGCCGTTGAAAAATGGGAAAGCAATCTAATTTCTGTGTTCATGTTATAAATATTATTATTGTTATTTATTATTATTATTATTATTATTATTATTATTATTATTACTATTGTTGCCTGGAATTGAAACTTCACACTTGTCAGGCATTGAACTATATATTCCTGGACTAGAATTATTTTTAACAAAATAATCAACGTAAGTTTTAATATGCGATGCTTGATGGTTGAGAAATCTGTATCTCGGCAACACACAGAAGAGATGGATCTACGAGAGCAGATCACAGTAATTGTTTCCTTTATATTTTCAAAGTAGTCGAAAGGTGGTCTTGGATTTGAGTGCTACATTAGTGAGGAAGACTAAGTCATGTGTATTTAATAGGTAAATATTTAGCTAATAATGAATGGATAGTATTCATTTTGGATTTTCTAGCTTTGAGTTTTTCAGCTGCCCCCCCCATCCGATATTAATAACCTAAATATCAGGCTTTGTGTGATGGTAACAATAAGAATCTTCAGTTAAAATTCTATTTCTTCAAGGAGTGTAAGGTAAATTCTACTAAAAATATTTTGTACTACATAAAATGTGATTTTATATCAAATCTTATTAAGTTTGAAGTACAAATTCAATGTTTGATTTAAGAAAAGGATTAGTTTGTTTTTTCTTTATTCTAGCCACTATTATAATTCAAATTCATGGAACAATGTGAAATAGTATTTGGAATCCTGATAAATTGTCGTAAGAATTTATGTTGTTTCTCTTTGATTTTAGCATGCAGCGACCTGGAATTCAGAGAAGTGGCAAACAGATTACGGGACTGGTTCAAAGCCCTTCATGAAAGTGGAAGCCAAAACAAGAAGACAAAAGCATTACTGAGGCCTGAAAGAAGCAGTAAGATGTCTAAATTGATGCTTTGTTTTGAGATGAGAATTTACACTTAAAGAATTCTTTAGAACAGAACACTACTTCATTGCTAACATAATGATCAAAAAATCAGAACTCTTCTTCCACGCATTGCAGATGTATTTTGCAAGGAAAAGAAGCATCTGAGAAAATACTTATTAATGGAAAATGAAATGTTTTCTCAGAGAGGATTTAGATTCCAGTTAAAAATTCAGACACAAATATTTTCAATATTTTATCAAAGCAGTAAAAAGCAGAATGACATAGAAATAGTGATAAAATTTTGGAATAAAATTTTTGCATCTATATTCTTAGTAAACACATTCAGTCTTTCCTCGATGGTAACACATTTCAAGATTGTGTCTTCATACTTCTTAAATTTGGCTTTGTATATAATGGATCGGTGGATAATAGAAAATATCCATAAATGAAATGTTATGGCTGAAGATAAATAAAAGAGCCATGAATTCTTAAAATATTCTTTCAAAATGTATGTAATGGTCTCACATTTTAATTTCTTAGAAATATGAATTAGAGACCTGGGAGATAGCTCAGTGGACTAAGCACCTGCTTTGGCTCAATCCCAGGCACTGCATGCCGACCTGTCGCCCCCCACACATGGGGAGCTGAGCCAGCCAATGAGACTGGGCGTGGTGGCCCGCCCTTGAAATCCCAGCTCTGCAGAGGCTGAAAACAGGAGGATCACTACAAGTCTGAACTGCTTATGAGATCCTGTACCAAATACATGAATACAGACAGATAGAAATAGATATTCATTTGAATAAAAGTATAAATTTAATTGATAAAAATAATATTGAAACATGGGTTTAATCTTTTAAAGATTTAAATGTTTTCCTTCCAAAGGGCAACAGAAGGTAAAATGGCAGCAATGCCAGCATATGCCACATCTCTAAAATGCCTGCGTGTGGCCTTCGTCGCTTCTCAGAGAAGCATGAACACCCATTCTCACATGCAACCCTCAAAGGATAATGTTTAACAACATTAAAAGCTAACCAAGATCACCTACAATTTATATATTTTTAAATATTGTGCATTTTTTCTTACTTTAAAGAAATTTGTTATAAACTTAACTTTTTGATTTATGAATCTTATCTATCTCAAAATAATTGAATATAATAGTGCAACTAATGTATTACCTTTAGATATAAAGATAGTCTTTCAATATGTGTATATATAATGAATTTTAGCAAGAAATTATAGTACATAATCCTTTAGAAGTGGTTCTCAAATTTACTTTTGAATTTATTGATTAAAATTTTGGCAGCTGCTGTATATGTGTATGCATTTTAGTCAGATCTTATTTCAGAGACATAACATTAATTTAGTGTATTTTTCCTGATCCTAAAGAAAATTGGTGTAGGATGAAGGGGTTCCTTACAGAAACTAGCACACTGATTTTTTAAAAATTAAAAAATTCATATCCACCCTTGTCTCTCCAATAATCATTCTTGAAAATAGCGTGTTCTGCGATTTTTCCTAGAATCTAGATCCCAAACTAATTTCCCGAATAAATTTAGAAATAGATCAAAGAGAGCTTCTAAGCTTTCAGTGAAGTACCTGGTTAATCATCCACATTCAGATTGTCTACTCTTCTAGGCTTTTGTTTCAAAAGCCATGAAAATCCCTGAAATAGTGGATTGATTCTAAGAAGTTGCTTTGGGGGTAGCTTATCTTTGCATTGTACAGGAAGATGAGGGTTTCAGAGTTATTTGTACTCTTTCAGGTAGTCAGTGCCAACCAGACATACTTTTCAGAGGAGCTTTTCCTCTAGGGTTTTGGAACAATTTCATAGACAAGAAATGCTCCATTCACCTCCTTGGATCTGGACACTCCCAAGGTGAATGCTCTGTAACCCCATCATATAGAATTTGTTAATCCACAATTCAGCTACATACTGCCCACGTCTTTTTAAAAAATTCTCCTTTCATTGTTAGCACACTGATAATCTGCTTATTGATCTTGTGTTCTCTCTTCCCAGAAAATTACTGCAAAATGAAGTTAGAGATTTTGACTCATCATATTGCTTGATTCTGGTGTTTGGCTTATATCATAGAGTATTCACATATCAGAAAAGAATAGACATAATAAATGAATAAAGTAAAGAACCCATCAATGTGCTGTGTTGTGTGGCTATGCTGTAATTAAATAAATTAGTACCTTAGGATAAGATTATATACTGTACCCAGTATTTTTTCCATAAATGTAAATGCTGTAACTGGATGCATTTGCTTCTATGAAAAAAATTCTAAACATTAGAAATAAAAGGATAAGATGTACATCCATTTTGAATTGTAAATGATAATAAGTGTTGCCAAATGCTTTGTAAAAGGTTTAGGCACTCCAGATTGCTGCTAGAGAGGTACAGAGTTAGCTTTTGACAGCTGCCAACAAGCCAAAGTATTTACAGTCTTTTGACCTTTTCCATTTTTCTGTTATATTTTACTTTACTTTTACTATGTATTTCTTTTACTTTTAAGACACATTTCTTTTATGTGTACTGATTTTAAAGACTATTACGTAAAAATCTTTTATATTGTGAAGAAAATACTTCATAAATTATGTCTGTTTGCCTTTTAATAATGAAAAAAAAAAAAACATATTGTGGCTGGATTTACTTAGATCCTTCCAGAATTTTTGGCATGCTTTGCCTCATGTGCTAATTGTTCTTTTTATACAATATGAATTTATATCTGTGCTATTAATAAATATACAGTATATCATTGTATTTGGTTTATTTTGTATGTTCTACCCTCCTGAAAGATGTCTAGCACAGAATTTATTCTATTAGTATTGCATTCCTACCTTCTATTTTATCAAACTTTCCTGATATTCTTTTCACATTTCATGTTCATTTTTCCTTATTATTTGTATTTAAATATCTTGCTTATCAACACTCAGAGTTGAATTTTAATTGAGATTGTTTCATATGACACTGAACCAAATCCAGGAATTCTTTTTGAATTATTAAAAATATGAAGAAGCCAACATAAAGCAGATAACCTATTTTAAAATATTTTTCATTTGGGTATGTTACACAAAAGTCCTTGGAACTTGCTGTCTTAGGTCCTTTCCTCATTGCCAAAGCAAAATACCTAACACTCAGCGTTAAGGGAGCAACAGTGCACTTAACTCAATTTATAAAGGTTTCAGTCCTCCATCGGCTAGCCCCAAGGCAGGGTGGCATTGGCTGAGGGGCATCAGAGAGGATAAATAGTTTATGCTGGGCACAAGGTAGCAAAGCAAGAAGGGACCATGTAGTTACTTTCTGCATCTTTATCTTCTTTCCAGGATACCAGGATTAAAGCAGCTGCCAAACCAATTAGTAGACTGAGTTAGCAATCACATACCCTTGATGCAACCCTCTGACATCCTAACAGTGCACCATAAGTCAATCATACAGTGTGGATCCAGCTGCCTCTGCAGTATCTCCACCTATGATGGCATGAGGTCTTGGGGGCAGCTAAAGACAAGCCAAAACACTTGCTTTTCAGTAGTGTAAGAGTGGATGAATTCAACAGAATTTCATTTCAACAGAGATAAAAATCCAATTTATTTTTATACCGGGATAAATAACAGTTTAATATTGTTAATTATATATATATATATATATACCTTTAAATGTTAGTTATCACTAATACAGACAAATAATTTGTCTGGTGAATCATGTATAACCTCTAAAATTTACATAGGATTCACTTCACATGATTTGTAAGAATGACCTTATTTTAGGACAATATCATATATTAACAAAAGATTATCTTCTATGTTCTCTATATCTTGGATACAAAGTGCTTTCTTAGAAGAGTGTTATATAATTTTTAATTATAGTAATTTAATTTTATAAAGAAAACCATGAGGAGAATAATTATAAAGGGTAATGCCTCATCCTTTTGAAGTAAATTAGCACAGTTTATGAATATATATTTTAAACATTTTTAGCCATATGCCTCTTTACAGTATAGCTTCTCAATACTGTGAAAATGAGCAAAGTTTACAGATTCAAATATGGAAGCTTCTCTAAAGCCATAAAAATTACAGGCAACATTGCATAAATTTTAGGGTTTTATACATTTGATGTAGATAACAAACTCAGTATCAGTTAAGAAATACCTACTTAGGAAAGGTATAAGATTTGAAGTTACTCTAAGATTTCAGAAAATTTTTATGTTAATTAATCAAAAAAAGATAATTACTGCTGAAATAAAGTTCATTATCTGAAAAATTTAAATTGGTTTAAAAACACTTTATGTTATTTATAACTGTAAATATATTATACATGCAATACTGACAAATTTAATCAGTAAACCTGTAGAAGAACTGTAGGCAAAATATACTCAAAGAGAATAACGTGTGTTGTTATATAATAAATATTTAGAACTATAAAGTCAGAGTGATTATTTTAACAATTAATTGTTTTGTCAAATTTTGTTTTATTTTACTAAGTTAAACCCAGGACCTTATTACTGAGTACTATCTCTAGCCATATTCTATTTTACTGTGTTTCATTTCATTTTTAAGCAGCGTTCTCTAACCCTAAGCTGAATGTCAGCCTACCTCAAGTTCCAAGACTGTTAGGGTTATAGGCATGAGCTCTATCCTGGGCTTCAAAGGTTATTGAATTTTTAAGACAAATTATGAATAATAAAGTATTAACATTTTTAATTCCTGGAAGTTTATAAATTTTCAGTTCATATAAGCAGTTGTTTATCTTGTAGCCAACCACAGGAGAGATTTCCTGAAGCAATGTTATAATTTAACTTGCAGCAGTATCTGGAGTTAGGGATATCACAGAGCTAACTCAAGCAGGTGAAAAACATAGCCCCTCCCTCTTAGGAGAGAAAACTCCATCTCTAGCAATTTGTGTTCATGTGTTTGTAGACTGTAACACCCGTTTCATGAAAGAAAGTAATTAGAGATTGAAGGTGATGCTGGCAGGTGAGTTTGCTGCATTTGAGCAGAGCATCTTC